GCTGGAAAGACGACCTTGATGGACGTCTTAGCTGGAAGAAAGACTGGTGGATATATTGAAGGAAGCATAAGCATTTCAGGTTACCCGAAGAATCAAGCCACTTTTGCTCGTGTCAGTGGTTATTGTGAACAGAATGACATCCATTCACCTTATGTTACCGTCTATGAATCACTGTTATACTCTGCTTGGTTGCGTCTTGCTTCAGATGTGAAGAAGGAAACACGAAATGTACGCAGTTCCTAAGCAAAATTCTCTTCTACATATACTATCTATTGTTTCCATTGGTAATTTTTGTTTCATCATCGTTACTAGAATACCTGGCCTCCTGGTTAAAGTAAAAAATTTTCATTCTTTTTCTACAGATGTTTGTTGAGGAAGTAATGGAGTTGATTGAGCTTAACCCGTTGAAGAATGCTCTAGTTGGACTACCAGGAGTGAATGGTCTTTCTACTGAGCAGAGAAAGAGGCTAACCATAGCTGTAGAGTTGGTTGCTAATCCTTCTATCATCTTTATGGATGAGCCAACATCAGGCCTTGATGCTAGAGCTGCTGCAATTGTCATGCGTACTGTGAGGAACACGGTTGATACAGGACGAACTGTAGTCTGCACAATCCATCAACCAAGTATAGATATTTTTGAGGCATTTGACGAGGTATTATTGAATTTCAAACATTTATAATGTTCTAATACATGCTTTTTCTGCAGGTCATTATCAATGAGCTATATTTTTATGATAATTTTTCCCTGCTGCAGCTCTTGTTGATGAAAAGAGGAGGACAAGTGATATATGCTGGACCTCTTGGCCGCCATTCTCACAAACTTGTTGAATATTTTGAGGTGCGTCTTCTCTTTTCATTAGCGGACTTCTATTTGGCTTTGAGCCTTAACCATTCTAGTCGTCAGGATTTATATTTAGATATCACTCCCAATGCCACTTTCTTCTGAAAATTCTTTCATGTATTGATATTTTAGTCCTTTGACATCTAAAATACTTGCAGGCTGTTCCAGGGGTTCCCAAGATCAAAGGAGGCTATAATCCTGCTACTTGGATGTTGGAAGTCAGCTCCACTGCAGTTGAAACTCAGCTCAATGTTGATTTTGCTGAAATTTACTCCAACTCTGACCTATATCAGTTAGTAGTAGTGGACAATTTTTTTTCCATTTACAAAGTCCTCAATAAACCTTACAGTTTGGAGATTGACCTTTCTCTTCACCTCATTGTTACTTTTTCAGGAGAAATCAGGAACTCATCAAAGAACTAAGCACTCCACAACCTGGTTCCAAGGATCTTTACTTCCCCACTAAATATTCGCAAAACTTTGTATCGCAATGCAAGGCTTGTTTCTGGAAACAATACTGGTCATATTGGCGGAATTCACAGTTTAACGCTGTCCGAATGTTTTTGACAACAGTCATTGGTATTTTGTTTGGTGTCATCTTCTGGAACAAAGGAGACAAATTGTAAGTCATTGAGAAACTTATATTGAGACAATGTTCTATACATGTCTTTTTTACAATTTTTTTGGAGCAAAAACCAAGGACCCAACAGTTCAATTCATTCTTACATGGCCATTTTTATGTTGGTTACAGGCAACAACAACAGGACTTGATGAATCTTCTAGGAGCTACCTATGCTGCTGTTTTTTTCCTTGGAGCTACCAATGCTACTTCTGTGCAGTCTGTTGTGTCAATTGAAAGGACTGTATTCTACCGTGAAAGAGCAGCCGGGATGTACTCAGAATTGCCTTATGCATTTGCTCAGGTGAGACATGAAATCAAATAATTTTGGTGTGCATCAATTTATATTTAATTTCAGGTGAAATCATGAAGAAAGGTATTGTCTTTCTCAAATCAGTGTGTACTTTCTTATGTTCCTCCAGGTGGCTATAGAGACCATTTATGTTGCATTCCAAACCATTGTATATGCTCTTCTTCTGTACTCGATGATCGGATTTGATTGGAAGGCAGACAAATTCTTGTATTTCTACTACTTCATATTCATGTGTTTCACCTACTTGTCAATGTATGGGATGATGGTTGTTGCTCTTACCCCTGGCCAGCAAATTGCCGCCATTGTTTCCTCCTTTTTGCTTAGCTTCTGGAACTTATTCTCCGGTTTCCTCCTCCCCAGACCGGTATGTAATATCAGCATAATAATTCTTTTTTGTTCATTTCCATGCATGAAACCATGATCATCAAATATTAATCCACAAAAATGTTTTGCTGAACTTTTCTTTTGAAATTAAAACAAAAAAAAATGCAGCTAATCCCTGTGTGGTGGAGGTGGTACTACTGGGGTTCACCAATTGCATGGACAATCTATGGTGTTTTCACATCTCAATTCGGTGATAAGACCACCACTATCCAACTCTCCAATGATGATAGAATGGCTGTGAATAGGTTCCTCAAGGATAACTTGGGATTTGATGAAGACTTCCTTATACCTATTGTCCTTGGCCATGTTGGTTGGGTTTTGGTATTCTTCTTCGTCTTTGCCTATGCCATCAAATTCTTCAACTTCCAAAGGAGATAGAAAGGTCAATTGAATTTTGAGCAACTCAACTCAACTTTTAAAATCTCAACATGTATATGTAACCATTGTTAACACAACTACTGTTGGGTTTTCTTGGTAATTACTATTTATACTTGGTTGCTTTTGTTGGGTTTGGATTCCCCCTATGCTGCTTCTTTTGTAATTTTTTTTAAAAATAGATTAAAGAAAATTCCTTCACTGTGCACCACCATTTTTGGTTGGCCTGTCTTTGCCCTACCAAAAAGCTAGTCATTCTCTGCTATGCAAAAAGCAATAAATAAACCAAAACTCAAGGCTGTGCTAAAAGTCAAGTTAAAGGTATGATGCCCCATTAACAATAAATAAATCACAAAGCAGAGTATATTATTCTGACAGTTTGCCTGTGACAACCCTAACCTTAATCCAAATTTTTTTGACATTTGCAGGAATTTAGTGAAAGGATTTTGAATTTTGAATCCATAGTACAAAAATCCATGCGGGGGCAGGCAGCATGTTGGTTTTCTCTAAGACGAAAAGAATCCATTTATTAATTTATGCTGCAAGTTATCAACTTTTTAGTAAGGGTTGATTATCAGTAATTAGGCAAATAGATTACTAATTAAACCCATACATACATATATATATATCATATAAATCAACAAAGAACAATAGTTTTGATCCTGAAATTTAATTCTATTAGTTCATTCAGTTATTTTTAAAAGATGATATTTAATAAATCTATAATTTCAATTTCAATACTTGCAACATATGTTAATGTATTTGCTTAGCATCTCCAAAATAAGCCTTTCAATCACTTATCCTCTCACTCTACATTGAAATAAGAAAGGAAAAACCGGAAGATTAAAAGTGAAAATTCTTCCTTTAGAAGTCCAAGCTGGAAGGACGATGATATTATGTAATAAGGGACAGCTATCTGCTGCCAATCTCTCCTACTCTGTCTTGTCTCTTAAGGCTTTCCCCCATGTGCCAACGAGCCTTTGGCTCAGCGGCATGAAGCATTCGGCACTTGAAGGGTTGCTTAAGTTTCAGAAACTTCAAAAAAAAAAAAAGCTTTTCCCCTGTCTTGTGTAGGAAACCACTTGTCCACTACAGAAATAAGAAGCCTTCTGTTTCAAGCACTCCTCTTCAAGGAAAAAGAAGATTTACCAATATTTTTTAGGACTCTTCAACCAATATATATCAGCTTATATGACAGCAACATTATTATAAATAATTTACATTTTGGAATTGAGATAATGATATATTTTTTCACATATACACTAGAGGTAGTAAGATCAATAAAATTTTACATAATTATATGTATTTTTTATTAAAAAAATGTGAAAAATTGATGCACAAGTGAGAAGAAGAGCAGTAGTTAACTGAACTTTGTCAATAGACCAACTTAAGCAAATAGATAGCTTACCAAAGTAGACCCATCTAGATTCTCCTTCAATCCAATAACTTGAAAAAATGAAATTGGAAAGGTGTACAAGATTCAAATTATGATGACTAAAATTATAAATAAATAAATAAATAAATTTTGAATGCAAAAATTGCACTGATATTAATTAAGTGGAATGTTAAAAGTAAAGATGGAAAAGAACATTTGGTTTAAGTTTTTGTTCAAGAAAGTATCCTCTCTAACTTCATGATTACAATTGAGGAGAGATTTTGGTTATTTTGTATATTTTTATTAACGAGGAATGTAACTTACATCTAAATTTGTTCAAAGGTCATCTAAAAATTCGTTTAAGTTTTGAAAGGATATGAATAAAAAATTAAAATTTTTTTAAATGAGTTTGAATACAAATTTTAGATTTATTTAAATTTCGAGTCGATTTTTAGATAAAATATTTAAAATTAAAGTTTGATTCAATCCGAATTTAGATATATATATATATATATTTATTATTTATATATATATAATTTATATATAAATTAAAAATAAAAATTATACATTTTTATTAGATTTAATTTAAAATTAAGTCTAATAAAATATATATAATTTTTATTTCTAATTTTTATATATATGTCAATTGAATATAATCTCATTAAATTTAATTTAATCTTTTTTTAATTTTTATTATATAAATTAAGTTTAATGAATGAATTAGAGATTTATTTTTTTAATTTGGGTTAGACTTTAGACTCAAAGTTTTAGACCGAATAGGTCTAAGCAAACGTGTAAACTATATATTAAGTATAAATCCAATCTAACTCATGAACGCTTTTTACTTACATCAATGTAAAATTAAAAAATTTAAAAAAAATTTTAATTATTAATTTTAATATATTAAAAAAAATTTTTACTTATTTCTCTTTTAGATCTATTAAAATAATTAATTTTACAGCGGCCTCTTCATTAATACTATTATTTGTTTTGTATTAAAGTAAGATTGTTGGTTTCATACCTTTAAAGCCAGCCTTGCATCTAACCACCTATAGCAGGGGAAAGAGAGCCATCATTGTAAAGAAAAAGGAGGAAAAAGAAAAGAGAGTGGCGGGGTAAAAGAGAATTGCAAGAAGTAAAGAAGGGGGTGTGTGTGTGTAAGAAGGCATCAATGGCAACACCAAAGCAGATATGGGAGCAACAGCAATCACAGATGCAGCGAGTGAAGAACTCAGGGATTATCAGTAGCAACGGGAGTCCAATAAAAGACGACAAGGAAGAGGAAATGGCAAAATCTGCATTGGCATTGTTTCGAGCAAAAGAAGAAGAGATTGAGAGAAAGAAGATGGAGATGAGGAGCAAGATTCAGACTTATATGGGACGTGTCGAAGAAGCAACTAGGCGCTTGGCAGACATTCAAGAAGTAAGTTATAGGATCATAGGTTAGAGACTAGAAGAAAAGACTTCATATCTAGCATCATGTTGTATATATTAACTCTGGCCTAAATGAAAAGCATGAATCTATATGATATTAATGTTTAGGAATTTGAATGGAAATAACAGTTCCATTCAACTCAAGGATCCATAAGCTAGATTCTTCCTTTTAAAGGGTACTTCCATTTGAGAATGATTTTTATGTTTGACTGTAGTGTAATGATATAAAATGTCTGCTTCTATTGAACTATGATGCGACGCATTGTGGATTCTTTGAATTGATAAAATCTTCCAGGAGCTTGATGCTCTCATAGATCCAATGAGGAAGGAAGTTGCAATTCTGCGCAAGAAGATAGACACCGTGAACCGGGAGCTGAAACCACTGGGACAGAGCTGCCAGAAGAAGGTGCAAATATTATTTCCATTACTAATTATTAAAGTGTTTATCAAGTTGCAATGTTTGAGGGTATAGTTAGATTAATTTTGATTTGATGATTATAGCAAACTCTCATCATTTGATGCAACCAAATGGGAGATCTAAATGCATCTTAAAGCTGAAAATTCACTTTCCAGTACAATTTTTATTGTCATTTTAACATTGTTTTGATAATCACAGGAAAGGGAATACAAAGAAGCCCTTGAAGCCTTCAATGACAAGAACAAGGAGAAAGCACAACTGGTTAGCAAATTAATGGAGGTGAATATATGTTAATCTTGTATTCAATCAATAGGAGCATTAATTTGCTATGATCAAATCTTGTTATGACAATCTCCGTGACATTTTTTTTTTCTTTTTGCTTTCTGTCAATTGCTGGTTAGCTGGTGAGTGAAAGCGAGAGATTGAGGATGAAGAAACTTGAGGAGCTGAGCAAAAACATCGAAACCCTTCAATAGATTGTGCTGACTACAACAACATGATTTGTTTGTGTGCTGTAATTAGATCCAGTTTTCTGATATGTTTGGTGCATTTATTGTTCATGGTTTCTCTGGTTCCTCAATGGGAAGTTTTCTAATTTAGGAAAGTAGTCACTGAGAGGTTTGTCACCAAATCCAAACAGGCCAACTTTATTTGTTCTTTATGCTTGCTCAAGCATCATTGCACAGTAAATTGCTCGTGTTTGTCTGTAAGCCACCTATTTAATTAAAAAAAAAAAGTGATGTGCCACCATAAAAATTTGGTCAATAATTTGAATTTTTCAGTTCCATTAATTTTAGCCACTTAGAACTTGCAACCAAATCTCATATTTTGATTCATCTAGTTTTTACACTATTTTTTGTATTAATACCTCTCAAATTGAATATAAGTTTTCAAATTAAACTATTAATTCGAAAAAAGATTTATAAATTTCAAATTTTTTTTCATAAAAATTTTTCGAATTTATATATCATCTACCAACAAAAAAATGCTTTACATCTAAGTTTTAAATTTTAATCACTTACGTTAAGGAATACTTAACGTGTAAAGATAGGGTAAAACTTGCCTAGGACAACGAAAAAAAAAACAATCGAAAGGTTGGGTAGAATGGAAGTAACCCTCCTCATCCAAGGCCTGCCATGGCCCATGAGGTGGCAAGGTCATTAACCGGCCACGACAGAAACTGGAGTTTTGGCTGTTTGCTTTAGAAAAAGGCACAAATCAAATGCTTGTTTTCCCAGTTCTGATTTTTTTTTTTTTTTCATGGCAGGGACAACCAAGCTGACATCTGTAATTGCATTACATGTGTTGCATCGAAACTCCGATTATAAGATATTACAACTTGTAAATAAACACTATGAAACAAGTTGGTTTAGGTAATTAGTCACGTAAAACCTCTCTTCAAATGATTTTATGTCCCTTTGCTAGGTCAGCTAAATTAACTTAATTATTAATTAATCAATCTTTCTATCTCCCACGTGTGGATAAATTTTTACAAACACTTCCTCGCTCTTTAGACTTTTAGACCTGTTTGGTAACAGGTCTCAATGCGGTGAAGGTCTAACCTCACGGCATTGGAAAATCTCGATTGGTCCTCAAAAGCCATTAGATGTAAGAATGGTAATGATTCGATTTAGATCATATTTAATTTAATTTTTTTTTAAATATTACATAATATTATAAAAATTTAAAATTTGATCTGAATTTAAATCGAATTTTTATTTGATTCGAACCGAATTAAATTTTAACGATTTAATTTATTATTTTTAATTTTTATATATTATTTTAATATAAAATTTTATATTTTGATATAAAATTATTATTTTATTTTATAAAAATTTAAAAATATATATAATTTGATTTGATTTGATTTTTTTTTATTTTTTACTTTTCAATCCAAATTTAATATTCAAACTTGATTCAAGCTAAATAAAAAAAAAATTCAAATCAAATTAAACACTATAATTACGAATCAATTCGATTTTTGTTTTCACCCCTATCAAATATGGCTTTAATGCCTGATACGAGACAGACCCTAGAAAGATTAGGAAGGAAAGAAGAAAAAGAAATAGAGAAAAGGACTTATATTCATGTAATGCAATCAATAAATTATGAAAGTTACCTACTTATTTCTAAAGCTTCCTCATCAAATAATTAATATATATCATTAGCAATTAAAACTTTTAACGGCAAATGATATCAAGGCTAAGTTTGAATTTCATTGCATTTTTGGTGTAGTATGATTGAATTCGTTATACAACCAATTGAATTCAAATACTAGCTCTAATGAAATCCATTTAAAATAAATTTTTCATTGAAATATTTTTTTCAATCACAGCTATAATAACTTTTTTCAATCCCAATTATAATAATTTTTATTATTATTTTTAATCTCACTGAAATCAATCTTATTGCTCATATAAATGGATCATAAAAAAATGAAAAAAAACCTCTTAACATCAACTATATTTAGGGGTGAACAATTGGTCGACTCAGTTGGTTCGACTTGAAAAAATCAATAATCAACTTAATTGATTTTTATTTAACAAATAATTAAATCAATTAAAAATTTTTAAATAATCGATCATAATCGAACCGATCAAAATCTATTTGGTTTGGTCGGTTCGATTAAATAATTAAATTTTTTTATCATTTTTATTTGTATTATGAATAATTATTTAACAATAAATTCAATTCAATAAAACTTAAACTCAAATATCATTCAAATTAAATCATTAAAAAATTTAATAATTTTAACAATATTTTACTAAAAAAATAAATAAAAATACTTATCTCAATTTTTTTACCTTTACTTATTAAAAAATTGATTAATTCAATCAATTCAATTATTAATTTTAAAAATAAAAAATCAATCAAATTAATTAATTTAATCAACTTAAAAAATTGATCATAATAAACATTAAATAAATAAAATTGATTCAATCAAATTTATTTAATTTTGGTTAATCTAATCAATTCAAACCGATTTTTACTCTATATCTCCAAGTCAAAGCGTTTTTACAGAAACAGAAACTGACTTTGTGCATCAAAGTTAATTAATATGCAGGGAACATATACATTCTAAAGCAGCTTCATGCCAAATCATGATGATGCAAACGTAAAGTCTTTTTCCAGTTGCATCAATTTTGATTCCATGTTTGACTATATAGGTTAAGATATCTCAATCTGGACAACCTGGGCCTCTGATCCGAAATGGTGCTGCTAGTTCCACACCTAATAGAGTTGAAATCTTAAAACCTTGGGATTCGAGCCTTTAATGATTTAGGGGTATGTTCTCAATGCTACAAAAATAATAAGATTATTTTGACGTGTTGAAATTCGGTAAGAAAGATATTTATTTTAATTTAAGATAAGATTGGAATGTATTATTTTTAAAAAATAAAACTAGAGACGATTGTGAAATGTTCAGTCCCACGTCATATCAGGATATATAAAAATATATATTATTTATTTAATTTTATATTTATATATTATATTAATAAAATTATTATTTAATATTTTAATTTAATAAAAATATTATATTTATAATAATTAAAATAAAATTTATATTAAAAATAATTTTTTATTATATTAAAATAAAATAAAATAATTAGTTTTGAATTAAATTCAATTAAATATAAATTATACATATATGTATTAAATCAAAATCAAATATAAAAAATATTAATTCGATTTTAAATCAAAACAAAATCAAATGAAATTATTAAAAAATCAACTCGTCACGATCGATCTCGTGGCCATTACCATTTGCACAGCAAATTAAAATAATTAAAATGAGTACTAAGTAATTCAAAATCTATATTTTTTTATTAAATTATTATATCTAATAATTTTGGTACGACTAAACGTTAAAACTTTACATCTCAGTCTCACCAGAAAAAAAGTGAAAGAACTGGGTGGCGGATAGAGAGGCGAATAATAATAATAATAATAATAATAATAATAATAATAATAATAATAATAATTACGTTTGGTTGTAATATTATTTTTATTTTTTTTAAATTTTTTAAATATGTGATAAGTAAATTTTTTATGTTGATTTTTAATAGATGATAATATAAACAAATATAAGTGTATTTAATTTTTAATATAAATTATAACTTAATTATATATAAATATATTGTTAATTAATTAAAATATTAAATAATATTTTTATTAATAAAATACATATATATAAATTAAATAAATAATAAAATATATATATTCTTTTATATATCCCAAATAGTTTTAAAATAAAATATTTCTTTCGATTTGATCCAATTTATTTAAAGAAAAACGCTTTACCCATTATTTTTTATAAAAAAAATCACTTCGAATAAATTATAATGAATCAAAACTAGGTTGTTTGTCACCCACTACAATTATTATTATTTTTAAATTTTATCTAATAACTAAAAAAAAAAAACATAAAAATAACAAAAAAAGACAAATGGAGTGGCAAGAAAATTTATTAATTAATGTATTAAATAATAATTTTTTATAAAATTTATATAAATATAAAATTATATAAATAATAAATATATATTGTTATATATACGAAGGAATGGACGTAAGATAAACTTTACTTTTACCCAAATTCAATTTAAAAAAAAAAATCTTGACACAATTATCTCAAATTAAAAAAAAATACATTAATTAGATCTTAGTAAATCAAGACTCATTAAATATAAATTATTTTGTCTTATTCATCTCAATTAACTTTTTATAACAAAATTTATCTAATAAAAAAATAAATTTAAAAAACCAAAAAAAGAAGCTTTAGAAAATACAGATAATACAAAAAAAAAAAAGAAAAAAAAGTGCTATGTAAACACCTTGGTGAAACACTTTAAATTTATCTTTAACTAAATTTTATTTTTTAAAAAAAATTCAACTTGAAAAAAATAAAAATCAGAACTTGATTTTAATTTTTTTTAAAATATATATTTGTATTAAATTTATACAAATCAAAACTAATTAAATCTGAATTATTCTATCATTCTTATTTTTAGTGAGTTTTTTATAAAAATTATCTAATAAAAAATAAAATTATAAAATTAAATAAAAATTATAAAACAAAAAATTAAAATAAATTTAATAAAATATAAAATAAAATAATAGAGATTAATGCCATGCGAAACCCTTCCTTTGTATCAATCGCTACAAATTTAGTAATGCAGAGAGATAATAATAATAATAATAATAGCTCCAGGACGATAGAGAGAGTCCCACAAGCCGTCCCGCCCAATCAAATACTTGCAAGGTTATTAACAATAATATAAACTCGTGTTTTGGACTTCTTAAAAAATAAAAGAATTGGTCAATAGTAAACGTCGTCAGAAAAATATCTAAAGCAAAGCATTGGCCAATCGACATGTGTGCACTGGCGACCACCGCAAACTGGTTCTCAGCCACAATTTTAACCTTTTTTAATAGTACCAAGATAATTATTATTTTCTGCCTTTGAAGCAAAGATAGGGTATGGCTTTTATTTTTATTTTTTTTCTAATCCTTTAACCCTTTCGTCTTTGTCAGATGCGTCAATGGATGGCTCACCGCCCATCGTCGCCAATCCATCCCTTTCCATTTCCCTTTCACTTTCTTCAACTGTTTTCTTCTTCCAATCAAATGCTGGTTTGATTTCTACAAAATGGTGGCGCACTTGGTTTAGACTTTTGTACCCAGACTCAATCGGTGCGTTCTTTTATTTTGTAGCATGATTATTCGTAAATTTATATCATATAAAATATAAAATATTATATATTTATATTATATTTTATATAAAAATTATATATAATGATTTATATAAAAATATAAAATATTAAATTTTTTATTAAATTTATATATAATTATTATAATTTTAAATCATATAATTTTTATATTTTATTTTTATATCATATTATTTTATCATATATCATATTTTAAATTATCAATTTTTTTCCACCTCATTTCTCTTCCTTTATATAGTAGTAGATCTGCCTAACTCGACCACCCAAACCAAGGTCCAAGGTTGGCTTTGCTTTCTTTTTCCTTTTCCTTTCCATCGTCTCTAATTTTGATCATATTGAGTTGAGTTAGTGTTGGTTGACTGGCAATTTGCAGTCTTTCCAAATTAGAGCTACAAAAGGCTGGAACCTTTTACGCGAATGACAAAGGTTTATCCCAACGCTAGTTTTACCGGCAGCGATGCCATCATCTCCGAGAGGCCATCAGTAGCAGCTGACACGAGCGAGGAGACGGTTCTTACCGTCTGGAAGAAATCGTTGCTGTTCAACTGTAACGGCTTCACGGTGTTTGATGTTAAAGGTGATTTGGTGTTCAGGGTGGATAATTACATGGAAGGCAACAAGGTTGAGATCCTTCTCATGGATGCCAATGGAAAGCCTCTCCTCACCATCCGCCGCAAGGTACCTTTTCCAACTTCACACATAAGTTTGACATTACATATGCCATCAGATTCTAACAATGGTGATGTTTCAACGTTTATATTGTCAGAAAATGAGCCTGGGGGACAACTGGCTGGTTTACGAGGGAGAAACCTCAGTGAATCCCCGACTTTCAGTCAGGAAATCAGTGAACATCCTAAACAACAAGTGCTTGGCTTACGTTATCCCCGGAAACAGTGACAGTCGAAATAACAACATCATGTACGAGATTGAGGGATCATATTCCCAACGATGCTGTGCCGTGTTCGATGGGAAGAGGAGGTTAGTAGCGGCGATCAAGCGAAAAGAGGCTGTTGGAGGAGTTGCCTTCGGAACCGACGTCTTCCGTCTTATTGTTCAGCCTGATTCTATCAGGACGGACTTTACCATGGCTCTCGTCATCATTCTTGATCAAATGTTCGGATCTTCAAGACGTTGCTAGCTGCTCCACCTAAATCTTTTGCTTGCTATTTTTCTTCTGGAAATTAAACACTATATATATAATCATAGCAACAAATTTCCAAATTGCAGCGTGATCAGCATATTTGGTTTTATGAACTTCCTCACCAAATCGCTTACTTTGGTTAAGAAAAAGGGAAAAAAAATAAAAAACTGAAACTGAAACTAGTTTCTTTGGTCTTGGGGCTTGGTTTTTTCGTTTTAAATAAAAAACGAAGCTTCCGGTGGGGGTCTATATACATTCAACAGAAGAATAATTTTCTGTTTCTCTATCTCTTTCCTTCTTTTTGGATGGTTGTTTATGAAAGCTGCTGCTCTGATCTGGGTTTTTCTGTGTAGAGGAAACATCAAAAAAAAAAAAAAAAAAACCATAAACAGTTTGTCTTTCTCTATATTCAGCTGAGAGAGGGATGCGATTTTAGTTAATTTGGATAACTCCAATTTATATCAATACAAGCTTATTGTCACACATCAAACGATCATCTACAATGGAAAACGAAACTGGAAACAAATATAAATTTAAACCGAAATTCTAGAGGAATATATAAATAAATAAATAAAACAGAAAATGAAAAAGAAAGTGAAATAGATGATCGGTAATTAAGGAGGTTGCAGAGAGATGAAAAGAAAGGTGTATGATTATCATTTTGAGTTGTTACTTGTTAAAATTATGTTCTTGTATACTTGGTATATATGGAGTGAAGTTGACTCCAGATATATATACTCACATGTCTTCAATAATTTTTTTTCTTCTTTCAACAATTAAGATCGATTTCTTCTAAATTTACATAATCAAAATCTTTACATTTTTCCTCAATGAAATTGCGAATCATAAGAAAAAAAAAAAAAAAAAGGAATAAGTGACGGGCTTCTTGGTCTTCTTGCATTTGCCTGGAATTTACGGGCTTTGGAACTGAACAAAACTGATGTTAGATATGAGGCTATACCAAACCCATTTTTGAGCGCCTTTGTATTGGGCTGTTTGTGACCCAAAAAGCCCACCAGAAAGCTAGCTTCTTTTCTAAGCTCAGCAAATTCAATTCAACGTCAGAGACTGAGAGAGATGGAAAAAAGCAGTGACTCACCTGCTAGAACCCTAAACCTCTATAATGGAGGAGAACCCAGAGGAGAAGAAAAGAGGGGGTCCAATAGGGTCAGGAAAATCACGTTTAACCATTGATATGGCGACCCATTTTCCTAATGAAATCATCAAGTTTGATTCCATGCAAATCTATCAGGGTATTGATGTCCACACTAACAACAGTGATCATCATAACAAATTAACAAGGTTAATGCATGGTAAAAGACCTCCATGGAATTTAACAGTATTATTACCTTTTTCCTTGTTAATCAAGGATGAATAACCTATAGCTAGTATTTTTATTTTCTGAAAAATATGGTGCTATAAATTATATAACGTTTGTGCTGCTTCAATAAGGAGCAACTCTATTCGTCTAGACCCTTTGTCGCTAACCCACTGTCCCTTTCAAACTCAGACAGTGCAGCGAAAAGGTCCTGACGACGGTTGATGATGACGATGGAGGGCCGGGCCTTTGAATTTGACTGTAATAATGATTTTGGGGTCACACCACTGCTAGATAAGACGCGCACTTGATGATGACGACGGAGGGCCGGGCCTTTGAATTTGACTGTAATAATGGATTTTGGGGTCACACCACTGCTAGATAAGACGCGCACTCAAATATTTATTCCTTGCACGAAGGGAGGATGCCCTCTTAATATGATTAGGGGAAAGGTTAAAGTATAGAGGGACAAAAAATGTTCAAATCGATACCACAGGACTGTACATATTATCTCTACTTGTATGATTGGATCTTGCTTTCATAAGATTTCAGAAGATAATTAAATAGTAGCGTTTTTGTTTGATTTTCAATCTTCGTGAAGTATTATTTATTTTAATTTAAAATTTTTATATTTGATTTCAAAAAAAATTCTTTAAAAATATAAGGCTAAGTTTTATCTTATATATCATATCAATAATCCCACGATTAGCCAATGTAAATTGAGGACTGACTTAAGGACAAAAACTTAACTGGTTTGCAATTTATCATAGTTGTCTAGGCTTTGTGATAATAATATTAGTTTTTATCGTAAAGGTAATGTATGATATTTTTTACAAAATTATTAAGGTAATATAATTATCAAAATAATTTTATTATTAAAATAATTTTATCACTGAGGATTTAAAAATATTTTGTTTGATTAATAATCATTAATACTTAATAATTAAAGATTACTCATTTGTTATTATTAAAAATTAAATATTATTTTATTAAAAAATATATAAATAATTATGCATATTATAATAGTTACGTAATTTAATGATTTTAATATTATTTAAAGATAATAATTTGTAAAATATTAATAATTTTTTATTTATTTTAAATATAATATGATTAAATTAATAAATATATTTATTGATAATAAACTAATTTATATAATATAACTTATGTACAAAATATTTAAATTAAAAAATAAAACTAATTTATTAAATTTATAATAAAAGAAAAAGAAAAATTATATTATAAATAAAATATTAAAAAAACATAAATTATTTTTGAATTTATTACAATAAATTTTTTTTTAAAATAAAATTTTATAATATAAAATAATTATAATTTTAAGTGAAAGTAATATTTTAATTCACATATTAAATAGATAATATTGATATTATTAATTTTACATATCATTTTATTTTTGTGATAAAATTTTTTATTTTTTTAAATAAAAATTATATTACCTTTCAAAATAATAATTTAATCACTTTTGATAATCTAATATCACTATCACATAAATAACCAAACACTTACTAATTCCCAAGTTCAAACATGGAAAACTAGTGTTTGAGATGATCCCTTGGAAATGTATTTATCAAATAAGTAATTGTTAGAAGGCTGACCCACATTTTTCTTACAAAGCACAGTTGATTTTAGCGTATAACAATGAAGATTATACTATCATGCATGCAAATAGAAGAATGTCATCACCAATTAATATTGTTCAAATTACAAAGATTTGATCATTTTTGAAGAAAATTGTCATTTAATTTCTTGTATTATTTTAACAAAAATCTAAACAAATCTTTTTGAATTGATTAATCAAATATTTGCAAAATGCTATTTGACAAAATGAAAATGTAACCCTGGTGCAAGTTGGGCAAATGATAACCATGCATCTCAAAATTGTGGAGGAAAGGGTGTCCTTAATCATAAAAATTTTGATAGCAGATATGACCTCAACTCTTCATTCATGGTGCTCATGTTCTAAGAAAAAGTCTCATAATAAAGATTCCTTAAAGATAAGTATGGTGATCAATGTCATCCATGAACTAAGCTCTGAATAATTGGTACTTTGGAAGTAACGGGGAGGACATGGAGAAAAGTCCAGCAATAAACATTGTGTTCTAGAACTCGGAGAGAAAAAGGAAAGAAAAGAAAAGAAAAGAAAAGAAAAGAGGTTGTGTCATGTGAATATGTGATAATAATGCCTGTGAAAATCAGGTGCATAAGATCTCAAATCTCAAGAAAAATTCAACTACATATGACCCCACTCCATGTGCAAAAGGTTAAGAAAGATACACGACAATGGCTGACGACAATTTCACTGTGAGGTGGGGCAAATAAATGGCAGACTGGTGGGTCCCACCCTTTACTTATATTGAGGTGCGGATCCCTGTATAACAAAGGACAGACTAAAGACTTTGCCCCCTTAGTCATGATGGTGATTGGTCACAGTGGACAGATGGGACTGTGGATGTTGACACAAATAATTTTGGTGTGTGTATAAATTTGTGAGGTTCAAACCTCAAACTTCAAAAGGGGTAGTGTGTTGCAGAGGGGGAGAAAATAATGGCAGGGTTCAAGCATCTTGTTGTTGTTAAGTTCAAGGAAGATGTGGTGGTGGAGGAGATTTTGAAAGGAATGGAAAAGCTAGTTTCAGAGGTTGATGCTGTCAAGTCCTTTGAATGGTCAGTTCTTGTGTCTTCTTTAATTAATTTTGGTTATGGTTTGCAACAATTGAATCATTTTATTGGGCAACATCAAGAAATCATTTACTTTTCATCAACTGAATCTGTTCTAACAGGGGTCAAGACATAGAAGGTCAAGAGATGCTCAGACAAGGATTTACCCATGCGTTCTTGATGACATTCGACAAGAAAGAAGACTACACAGCGTTTGTCAGCCATCCTAGTCACATTGAATTCTCTGCTACATTTTCAACAGCCATTGACAAGATTGTGCTGCTTGATTTTCCATCTGTTCTAGCAAAGGCTCCAGCATGATCCTGCAAGATCTTTCAACAATTAAAAAAAAAAAAAAGCTACCCAGGAAATTAGTATTGACGGTTTATTATGCCGATCTCTCTTGTATTTATGCATCTATGTTTTATTGCTTGTCATTGCTACCAATTTCCAAAAAGAAAATCTCAATTTGTATTATTTATATGCATCAAAGACATTTAGCTTGCTGATGAATGGACTGAGGAACCATAAAATCCTTTTCACAGCAGTATTTTTTTTAGCCTTACTAGTAATATATATGCACCAGAAAATCCTGAAAAAGGATAAAAGTACTTTCTTGACTTTGTTGTTTCACCTGATCAATGTGATTGATGAGCAGCGAATAGGTTAATTAGCTTTATTCATGATGGTCCCATCTTAACAATCCTGTCTGCCATAATAATTCTTAAATTGCAAGAGAGGGTTCAAAAAAAAAAAAAGCATCAAGATAGCTACTTTTTTTGTCATAATTTCACATGTAAATACGAGTAAATCAATTGCGAAAAAATGCATATACTTAGCACTAAAGGCCATGAACATGGTAGTCTATAAAAATACATGAAGAAACAAGTGGGGCAAAGACCCGTTAGCATGAATTAGAGTTTATCTCAATTAATTCGTACGATCAACATCTAATAAATTTAAATTTTAATTCTAAAATCTCTTCTCTTATCCTCAAATTATTGACTTAAATAAAAAAAAACCTCATCAGCTTGATGTCCGAATTGAGTATTAGCAAAGGGGAGAAACAGGCAGGAATCTTACAAAGGATGTTTAAAGGAAAGCAATATTCCACTGGAAAAAGATGACTGAAAAAAGAAAATGGAAGTCCATGTGGGAACGCTAAATTTCGGAAGTAAATAAAAGTGTAACAGATGAAAGATACAGCCATTTCTTCCAATATGATTCCAAAGATGACACCAAAAACCAAAAAGACTGGGGAGAATGTAACTTTCCCTTTAGCAGATCTGAAGTAGTTTATTTGTTTTATGCCTTCTTATCTGCTCTGATCATCAAAGGCACGATCTCAGCAATCTTGCTCATATCATCTGAAGGGACAAACAAGGAAAAGGAAAAAAAGGAAGACAATGCAAACATTCAAGAAACTCAACTTTCTGCATTCTCTTCTTTCCCTTGTGCTCTTCCTCACCAACTCCACAGCCCAACACGCTCCCACAAATGACTGCGGCAATATTCGGCTTCAGACATCCTTCTTGAGTCAAAATTCCACTAACTCCTTCCCATTAAACCGCATGATCAAATGCAAATCTCAGAAGCTATACTTCAGAACCTCTCTTGGTCTTTTTCCCATATCTTCTATCGATTATACAAGTAAAACACTGACAGTCTCTCACACTTCTTGCTCTTCTTCAGAGCGCTATGTATCCCCTGCACTTCTCTCTGCTGGTTTCCCTTCTCCTCCTCAGCCCAACTCACTTCTTCTCTTCAAGTGCTCACAAAAAAGGTATCCCACATCATCATCATCGATCCACAACTGCACTCACTTACACATGTGTGGAGCTGCTGCCGGTGTCCAGAAACAGGAAATTAAAGTTCCATATCCATGTCTACTCGTTCAAGATATTGAAAAGCTTGACGCTGACTTTCATCCAAAAGATTTGAGTTGCTCAGATTACAGGAGGGTATATAGAAGGTCTTTTAGTGAGGAAGACTACGAAGGAGTTGAGCTAGGGACAAGGATTTCTTTCGACATTCCTGACCATGTACCAGATATCTGTAATGAATGTAAAAAGCCTAATGGTAATTGTGGTGTTGGGTTGAAGTGCATTTGCCATGCAAAAGAGTGCAGTAAGTACCCCCCTCGTCTGATCTCTTCAAGTTTGCATTTGATCCATATTCTTGTTGCAATCTTGTGATGTCTGATTGTTTTAATGATGTTTTTGCAGAAGACAAGGTCGTTTCAGCAGCCAACTCACTGAGCACTGGTATTGGTTTCCTATTTCCATTATTTTCTATCAATGTTCTGATGAATTTCTAGATGATATGAGCAGTTCCGAAACATCAAATACAAAGAACAGATAACCTACTTTTTGCTTTCCTTTCTCATGGATGTTAAATTTATATCTCTACTTACTTTTCAACTGGATTGCTATTTAAACTTCTATCATCTATCTACACAAACACAAGAAAACGCACCTAGTTGGAGCCTTCTATCGATGAAAGCATCCATTATGAATTGGTACCTGATGTAGTCAAGCATTATCTCTTCATAAATTTACATGGTTAATGTAGCGAGAAACACATGATCACCAATTCGCCAAAATCGATGAACATTTGATCTCTAGTTAGTGATTTAAATAACATAATTGATGTAGCTGAAAAATGCAGGACAAGGTTTTCCATCCATTGTTTGTACACACCTCTACATCCCAAAATAAGTAAAATGATGAGAAGATGATTTAATCCAGCACAAACCATCTATTATCAATTTACTTGGTTGACTGGAATAGCTTTCATACAAAGATATCAAGATCATAACTTCTATATGAATAAGATTATCAACCAAATTTATAATGCACACTTTTTAGACAGCTAAATGCTATACTGTACTCATGAACTAGACATTGCTTCTTAGCAGCAAAGTAAACGAAACCATTTTATGCTAAGCATAGAACTTTTGTTGTAACACCCAATCCCACGCTGAAATATGATGAGGATCTAATCTATACTTGTATGAAGATTTTTTGTGAGATAAAATCTTTCGGATCAAAGAAAATGCATCTCTGAGTTCAACATCAACTTGTCCTATCAAAAGGATATAAATATAATTGACAGCTGGGAAACTGAAAACTAGATTTAATTATTCGTAGGATAACATCAAGATTCAAGAAGATATGCTCAGGGGAAAATAATTGAACGAAAACAACAGAAGCATGGTGGCCATTTTGTGGGTGTCCAGTGAATATTTAACGGTGAGTTGCAAAATGGGGCCTTAACGAGAAATGGGTTGGAGAAGGGAGCATATGCATCCATTTCCTTTTACATAAAGCTTCAAGATCTGAATGATGAAAAAGGAAAACATTCAACATCAAACAGATCATTCCCATCTTGAAATGAGAATTCATATATTAAAAATTAATTATAGCAATATATGATAGTTGGAAAACTGAGATGTAATCTGATGAAATATATGTTGTTAAATTCATCTTTACAGGCTATGCAAAGCACTTTCCAACTAGCCAAAAAGCCACAAAAACTATTTCCACACCATGGATCACTCAATCCATCCTTAACCTGTAAAACTCACGTGAAAAAGCTGACTGGTATCGAAGTTTCTTCAATATTTAAAAGAAAATTTGAACCAAGAAATTGGAATAATAATTTGGCTATAGCCAGAAGGCAGAAACAGGAATGAACTAGTAAGCTTTCAGATGATGACTCAGTGAACCACTGTCTCTCAGTCTATGGGGCAACATTCACTTCTTAGGCACCCGAGGTAGCTTTTGAATTTACTTTGCTGAGTAATAAGGCAGCCCTTGCTTTCTCTAAACCCAAAGTGGTCTGATCACTGATGGAAAGCCCATCCAAACAAGAACAGCAGAAACTAAGCTTTAAAAATATACTCGGCCTTTACTTTGGATGAAATTCTTTGTATTATCTAAACCCTATTGTTTAAGTTCCTTAATTCTGATAACATTTATTCAACTTTTTTCCTGCTAAAGGGAGTCCATTTGATTTGAGTGAGACTAATGACTTTAAACCCCTGCTGCAGGCCTGCACACCACCTCAGTTAATCTTTTGTTACATCAAACAAGAAGTACAACTTTAAGTAAAGAAACCATGGACAAACTGAGGGAAAAACATTGCATTGTGAAAATCTTTATTCTTTAACAACTGAGTCGAGCCCAACTCTTCAATATACATCAATATATAGTTGATATATATAGAGATTATTAAAACCATTTGTCAAACAAAAGAGCCCAAAGCTATTTTCATCTTGCTTATTGTCAAACTAGAGACTACTTTCTTCTAATTTTTTATTGCTAATTAATTTGATCTCGTCAACTCGGATGCCATAATCTTGTAAGAGTTGGTGAACTTCCACAACTGAGAATGGACTTCCTAGGCTAAGTATTGGAGATATAAGAAACCGATATGAAAGGAGTTGAAGAATTAAAACATTTTGGAGGATAAATGATTGGCAAATGCAAGTGAAGAACTTGAAACATTGACTCCAAGAACAATTTTTTTTTTAATCACAAGATTAGATTAGTATCACAAAACCATTTTCAAATGCATATCAAAGAATATTTACATCGAATTTAAATCTTATAAGCAAAGTATTTGATCTTACCAATTAAACTACAAGAACCAATGATGATGGTGATTCTATTATTAACCAAATTCTATGGTTATTGATAAGCCTAGTGCTGGTGTCTCCCAAGTAGTGTTACTGTTTCATGAAGATAGATCTATTTTTTTAAATAAATTTGTCCTATATTCAAATAGTAATATCAGCACCAAAGCATTTGAATTCATAATAATGTAATACCCAAGCCCTATTTTATATCCTAAATAGTTGACCCAACCCATATTAAAAAAAAAAAAAAAAAACAGAAGGAAGTTTTCCTTCCCTAATTTCTCTTAAAGGAAAGGGAATACGAAAATTAGAAAAAAAAAAACTCTAAGGAAGAGAAAAGAATGGTTGAGATTGAGAATTTAATGGTATAATTGAAGATTTGGAGGTAACACTTGCTTTTTAAACTCTTTAATTTTTGTTTTTTTTAAGAAAAACTCAAATATTATATTAGGTTTTTAATATTTTAAAATTTCAGACAACATTCCTATAATTTTTTAGCTAAATTGTAGGTTCTAATAGAAAGGCCTCTTCAAGGTCTTTCTAATGGTGTATGTGGCACTTTATTTAATTGAATAATTTAAGAGAATATAGTGTTTCAAGTTTTTTATTTTTGAGTTTCTGACAATTATAGACACTCAATTTTAAGTTGCCAAAACTTCCTTCTGATTTGGTCAAAATTTAGGTGCTTTTAATAGTACGAAATATAAACTTTTTAGTGGTACAATTGATTTGTTCAAATAATTTATAGGTTAAGAGAATCGAAGCATCAAAATATGTTTTATGAATCTGAAACTCAAAAAATCTGAATTGTTTGTGATAATTTGTTTAGTTTTGGCCTTCAAAACATAGATATTTGGAAATCATTTTTTCTGAAACAAAATTCTAACTTGTGTTATTACATTCCTAATTTAAAGTTATGCTTTCTTTTGTCACTAAGAACTATAGGATATTCGAGATTTTATGGTTCAAATTAAGTTAAATAATCACAAAAATGTGAAAATTTCAGAATTTAGAAATTCTCATTTTTAATTATTTTCAACCACTATTTGATTTACTTAATTATAAATTACATGAGTTTTAGTTATATTATTTTAAATGAATTTTTACTTATTTTAATATATTTTTATTATATTAATTCCAGATTTTTAATAATGTTAAATGTTTATTAAGTTATATTCAAATTTATAAAAAAAAATGATTACTATTAAGTATTAAAAATTAAAAATTTGTAAAAATATATATTGCTACTGATTTTTATGTTTTAATTTTTAATTTAATATTTATACTTAATTTTAGGTATTTTGCTATATTAAAAGAAAATTTGTCTTATATGCTAAAAAAAATATTTTCAATTAGTATTGAATTGTCGAAAAGTTTGCCATTCAACCCAATTTGCTTAGGATGACTCACGGAAGGTTTGCTTTATTAAATTTATGTTTTTGAGATAAATTCTAATTTTTTAATATTTTTTGAATTATTAGGATACTAAGAGAATTAAGTGATTTGTTGCTTAAGTTTCGGTTTAGCGCTCAGGTAAATAACTTGATATCTCTTCGATTTTTATGTCCCTAAAAATTAGTCTCAATATAGTTAGAGTTAAAATATATAATATATATTATTTTGTCTATTTGTTTTATAAATCGGGTTGAGTATGCAAAATATACATATAATTTCTTTGTTATGACTTTGGAATATTGTTTGATGTTGTTTTGATTTTCGAATATGATTTTATAATAATATATTTATATATCCATCATTTGTCATAATATGAAATTTTGTTTTGGAATGATCATGAAATTTACTTTGTATGAATTATGTTTTAAAAAAATTTATAAATATTAAATTTGTATATGTTAGGTAATCTAAAAAAATATTGTTGGTTTTTGTCTCCTAGTATAACTATACTCTAACCCTGCCAATCGAGGTTAATTGTTAGTCATATCGACATGTACTTTATAATATTGATACATGTTTTGAACTATGCCACCGGTTGAGAATAATAGTTTTGGTTCACAATGCCATTGGTGATAACTTCTGTCTCATTGCATTAAAGGGGTTATTGTGATTTTTGTTTTATCCCATTACACTAATGGGTTAATTATGATTATTATTACAACGATCTAATTGCTTCTAATATACTTTTATTCTATTACACTACAAGAAAAATTCTAATTATGGCATATGCCATAGGAGTTAAGTGTGGTCGTAGTATGTTACGAAAGACTAAATAAATTTATAATTTAGTGATATTTGATTTCGTTTTGTGATATGAGAATTTGGTTTTGAGAATATGTTTATGAATACAATATTACCTAAAATATTTTTGAATCATTTAGTTAATGTTTTGGCCTAAATGTTGTATGGCATACTTAATCCAACTGAGGGGATGTCTGTTACTCATTCCTTTAATTTTTTTTACTTTTTCATATTTTTATATTTATATCTTGAAAGGCTTAATCTCGACAACTACTTGAATTAGTAAGATTAGCATTTGTCTTTAGCTTGGTATAGCTTTCAAGTAAGTATTTTATTATTGATTCTAAAATATTTGCTAATAAGAATTTTATTATCTTCGACCAATTTATAAATGATATAATTTTGTAGATTCGAGATTTTGTAAAGTATTATTTTGGAGATTATTAAAGATTTTGATTTAGTTCGATATCTGTTGCTTTGCATACTTATGAGATTCGTCTTATGAATATATAACATTGTTACGTCCTAAATCTTTATATTTGGGGCGTGACAAATAATTTTTCTTGAAGAATTGAGTTCATTTCGAATCTCCTTTTTCTAATATTTCCCAAAAGTTAAAGTAACTAGATGAAATGAGAAATAATTCCAAGTACAAAAACTAATCATGATAATTCAATACCATACCTTCTTTAGAAAGCAAAACAAATGTTTTTTCGTGTGGTTTTATCTGTTGAGAGTGTTGACGCTCTAATGGATTGTTCAAAAGAAAAGAATGTCACAAGGAAAATGCATGAAGAATTATTATCTGTGGTCTTCAAACAAATAAATTGCAAAACTGGTGAAGAATAGGTGGAATAATCTCTCAAGCCGTTGGAAAAAAGAATTTGTGATGGAAAACCAAAGCTTTTTTTCCCCCTAAATTTTAACTAAAACACATACCAAGATAACCTAAACCAAAACCATCAATCATCATCATCTCCAATACACCAAATCTACTCCATGAATGAGGAAATCTGCACCCAACCAAAAAGATGTTATTCGCTTTAATATAAAAGTTTTACAGTTTTATCCTACAAAAAAAATCTTACAAGTTTGAGTTTTTAAATCTTCACTTATATATCGATTCTCAAAACATCTTAATATGAGATTGGAGTGTTATAAATTTCTCCATTAAAATTTGACATTTTTATCAAATCTAATATAAAGTACACATAGAACTAGAATCACATCTAATGTTGGGATTCTAAAGGTAACTCTCACCATGTAACACTTAATTCACTTGGGATTTTAGGTGTAACATTTAACTCTCGTTCGACTTGTGACCACTTTGATATCATCTGTGAAAATTTATACCCAAATTGTGAAGTATTATCCGTTTTGATTCGTTCAAGATTTTATTCTACAAAAAAAGCCTCATAAGTTTGAATTTTTAAGTTTCTACTTGCATATCATAACACATTTTCAATGAGATTAAGATGTCCCAATGATTACAAAGGAATTTCAAATGTCAAAAGATGGTAGAATATTAAAAGAAAATTTTGTTATCATAATTAGGTTATGTATTTCATTGATTATATATATATATATATAAGAGGTTGTAATCTTAAAATAAAAGAAAAGATTATGTGTTTAGAATTTAAACTCTAAATATATCAAATGTTATTTTTATTGAAAATAATGACTCAAATCCCATAAGATATTTATTTGAGATTTGTTAGATATTATTTGATAGACAAAAAGACTTACAGAAGAAGAATTTTAAGAGGAAAATAATTTTTAGAAAGCATGTTTGACTTGCAGAAGAAGAATTCTAAGAGGAAAGTGATTCTTAATAGGTAAGTTTTGTATACTTATAAATGGGTGAAGTCTCTATAGGTTAGGTATGAGAAAAAAATGTAAAAAAGTTATAAGATTTTAAAAGATAAACACTCTATAAAATTACAGAAGATTTATATCTTATTAGTGTATATGTTTGAATGTTTGTAAGTGAATTAAAGGAGACTGAGATGATTCACATAGAGATGGTGCATAGGTGTACAATGGTATATATTTGTTTGGATTGAGAATATTTCATAGGACTAACAAAGATTGAGAGAGCCTATGAATATTGATTGTTGAATACTTGATATGGATTGTATATTTATAATTCTTTACAACTAGTAAATCTTGTTTCTCATCCGTGGATGTAGGTCAGTTGGGCCGAGCCATGTTAAATTACTGTCTCTTCATTGATTGATTAATTATTTGATTATGCTTCTACTGGTGTAATTGGATTAAGGCCTTTTTACTTAACAAGTAATATCAAAGCTTGGTTTTGGTGCAAATAGCAAAGTCTAATAACAAGTAGTAGAAAAGCTATGGTGATCCTCAACAAATGATATCAGAGCTGAAAGTTTGAGACATGAGAAGAAATAAGCTCAGAGGAGCTCGATTCAAGAGAAGAATTTGAGTTTATATTTTGAATATTGAGAATCGGTTTGCGTAAAACTTCAAAACACATAAAAAAATATGATTGTGAGACTTCCATTACAAGTAGAGTTAAACATGTCTAGCATGAAAACAAATGATTTGATGAAATTTAAGTCAAGATGAATATTGTTGAGAATAACGAATCAAATCCCATAAGAGATTTGTTTGGGATTAGTTAGATATTGCTTGATGGATGAAAAAATTTACAGAAAAAGAATTATAAAAGGAAATGGATTCTTAATAGTCAAGTTTGACTTGTAAAAAAAAATTTAAGAGAAAAGTGATTGTTAATAATTAAGTTTGTATACTTATAAATATATGAAGTATCTATAGGGTTAGGTATGGAAAAAAGATTTAAAAGAGTTGTAGAATTTTATGTGATAGACACCTTACAGGACTATTAGAGATTTACATCTTATGAGTATGTATATATGTTTGTTTGAGTTGATAATATTCTATAGGATTAGAAAATATTGAGAGAACCTATAGATATTGATTATAAGTGCTCGATATGGATTGTATGTTTATAATTCTTTACAATTAGTAGTTCTTTTTTCTCATCTATGTATGAAGGTCAGTTGGTTTGAATCACATTAAATTGTTGTCTCTTGATTGATTGATTAATTGCTTAATTATGCTTCTGCTAGTGTAATTGAATTGAGGTCTTTTTGCTTAACAATTTTTTCATAGCGATCACATAAAGCAATTGATTAATTGCCGGATTCTATTATTTCATTGACTTTAATTTAATCAAATGAATTGTTCTCAACAACTTCAACAGTAAGAATGATAAATAAATTTAGCTTCAGTTTTGGGTTTCAAGAAAACTTTAAAGTTCCTTCCATTAGAAGAAATAGCAGTAGTAATAATCATCATTCATATTTCATAACAATGACAGAATGTGAGCCTCAAGAGTCAAGCGCACACCAAACGACATATCTTTTCACCCTTTGCGATTTTGTGGTTGGCCGTTTTAAAACTCCTGTCCCAACATTCTCATTTACGCACCATAAAGCAAGTTTGTCTTTATTTTGGAACATTGATCATGGTTCTGGCCACCGCAATTCCAGTTTGTCTGCTTTTGACAGCACTTATCCTTTGAGAGTTAAGGATAAAATGAATGTCCAAGCAACAGATAAGTTGTTAAGTTTTGCTTTATCTGTCTAATTCTGAGTTAATACAGAACATTAATGTTAGCAGAACTATAGTAGAGATAAGACACCAGAGAGATATATATATATCCTTGGCATGTCTCCCCAATGATTCCAGAATTATATCTGTTTGAGATTGGCCCACTGGAAGATCTGTCCTGTTAGTAAAGTAGATGGTTTCCTCAAGCTAAGATTCAATGAAATTTGTAAATGGTGAAATGCTAAAGTATTAACTATAAAAAAATTAAATGGAAACAACACCAGGCTGGTGAACCTAGATCAGGTCAACTACTACTTTTACCATCACACATTCTGCAAGATATTCAAAAACCTTTTCTGCTGTGTGCAATAATGTCCAGAGGATTTATCAGCATTTCTTGGTTGTCTTCATTTAAATTTCACAGGAACAAGGGAAGGGGTGGAGCCAAAGAATTAATGTTACTCTTTAGCAAGCGATACCCTTTGCAAACTGAGTACTTAGTTCAATCGGTTTATATAACCACCGCTAAATGGTATCATCCAATAAATCTGAAGTTCAAATTCCAACACCGCAATCCCTTTTTTTGTTGCGACTTTTTTGTGCGAAATAAATAAATAAATAAATACCCTTTGCAATCCTTAGCTTCTGATGCTTCAATGAAGAGTCTGAATAAGAGTACTTAAAGCCTGAAGATTTTAGTGTCATCTCTAAGTTAAACTAAGTTAAACTGAGTCCAAGTGTCCTTTTGGAAAGTTTTGCTTCTTGCTTGTGGACCAAATATTATTAATTCAAGGGAACAAGGGGACCATAGTCATTACTAAAGAGGGGGTAAGGCATAAGGGGTCCTAGTCTCCTTGAGCATAATTGAGTACTATCCTTTGGTGACAGAAGGTATCAAACATGCAAGTCCAAGATTGCTAAAAGCTTGTTCAAACTTGATTTAATGCTTGATGGAACAAAGCATGAGCATGTTCACAATGGTTTGATAGTCAGACTTAATTGGGTTATAAAACAAATTCACAGTGAAAAGAAAGTAACATGGAAGGAAAGAAAATTAGAGAAAGCAGTTAATAGCAAGAAGATGAATAAATTTGGTTAATTCTTGGCCTTGGAAAGCATCCAAAGAAAGCGGAAATGATCCATTTACTGTATGCCTAATAAACAAGAAATATTATATATATGTAAATGGAAATATTCTTTGGTCAAATTGCTTCTGATTATTATCAGGAGATTCCCAACTTTATTTTGTGCTTTTAAGGGCAAAAGCAATCTTCCTTGATATCTTTCAAAATATCCAAATTCTTTCTAGCAAATCTTCATTGATACCCTTCAAAATCCTGAAAAGTTTGTTTGAGCTGTCTTTTCTTTTACGGCCCTTTCAATTATTTGAACCTCACAACAATGTCCTACTTTCAATTTTTTACTGCCTTTGTTAAGATTATATTTCTGACAATTAATTTGGCAAATTTTGATTACCATCCTGATAAGATAAACATATCAAAATTCAAAATAACTTTTTTTTTTTTTTACAAAGGAGATAAAGAGAAAATGATTGTAGCGATGAGATTTAAATTTCAAATTCATTTAATGTTATTTTTTAAAAATTATTTGTATGAATCAAATGTGTTAAATTTTAACTTTAATTCGAATGCTATATTTAGTTATTCTATAATTCATATTTCTGCGACTCAAAAAAACTAAAATATTCTGCAGCTCAAGTTATTTTCTTTTCTTATATGATCAACGAATTAAGTATCTATTTCTTTCAAGTAGAAAAGGGGGAAAAAGAAAAGAAAATTGGACCAAAAAAAATGAGAAATTAAAACAAATAAACAAACATGGACAAAGTCAGTAGTTTCTTTATGTGTTCTTACAGGCATAAATCAACAACGAGAATTGAACTCTGTCTTGATCTTTCTGCACCAACTTCTCCTCCAACCAAAGCCGGCTATCCAATCCACTTCTTGTCCTGAACATGAATACAGCAGAACCAGTGGCAGGATTGAAGAACCAGTCGTGCACATCCCACATCAGATCAACTAGCAATCCATCAACAAATATTGTCTGGTTTCCTCTAAAATTCCACTGCAGTCTCTTTACACGAATCACTGTCTTCTTATCGATACAAACTGATAAAACTGGATACTTTAGCCCTTCATGTTCTCCACTACATCTGATCATAATATCATGTATAATGCCTGTATCACAGAATTGAGCCTTGGTGGAATAAAGTGTATTACCTGAACAATGTTCTTCCCGAGAAATGAGAGAGACTTTAGCAACTGTGGTGTTAGTTTTGAACTTCTTGGTGACAGCTTCAGCCATATCACCTATAATAAGGCCTATCTCTGAATCAACCATGACCAGGACGTAGAATCCATCAACCGGTTCGGGTCCTACATCATACTTGGCCGTAGAAAGATCCCAAAAGACTTCGATCTTCGAATGATCAGATTCAATCACTTTGTTGCCTTTCTTCTTCCTGAAAAACCTCAAATTCGTGTTGAGCTTGAAACTTGTTGAAGGGTCATCACCAAAGTTTATGCTTAGGCCTTGACCGGTTTGATTCTTGCACCAAGTGACTCTGATCAAGAGCTGCTTCTCGGTTGAAAGAATGACTTTGTAAATACCTGTGACTGCATTCTGGACTGAAGGCACTAGGCTTGGAGAGATGCAAGCATTGGTTTTATAGCTAGAACATGAAGAATGGGAAACATTTACTGCGTTTTCACTAAAACAAGAAACAATGTCTCTCATTGTAGCTAAAGAACAATATTGAAGATGATATATTTAAAACTGCAAATTGGTTTCTTCGAGTAAAAGAAAGATCTAAAGGTTTGGAGATATGGGTCTTTCTCTTTTGGCTTATGAACAAAAAATGAATATGTCAGGAAACTGGACAAAGTTTGGTGCTTTTGATTTGTCTCTCCCTGCTTTCAATTTTTCTAAACAAGAAAGCGGGCAGCAGCAAGGAAATTCAGGTTATCTCACCTTATATAATCTTCAATAAGAAGGGAAAAAAACAGAAGAGAGATACAGCAAAAACTTCCAAGCTTTATTTTCTATACTCTCTTTTGCCGGTTCACAAGAAATATTAAAAACTCAAAAAAAAAAAAAAAAAAAAAAAAAAAAAAAGCTAGAAAAAGGAGTGTTGGACCTGGTCTGAACACTAGCACTTGTTTTGACATGATATCATGGATGCTTTTAATTCCTTACCGTTGGCTTTTGAGATTATGAATACTGATCATTAAAGGTGAAAAAAAAAAAAAACTGAGGGAAAATCTTTTAATTGGAGAAGTACCCTTTTGTTTATTCTCTTTGAAGTATAGAAAGTTAAATATGGCCCCTGGTAAGATTTTACAGAAGTTTTGGGGACAGTGAAAACAAGTGGGTCTGGAAAGATACAAGACATGTGTTGGAAATATGGGTAGGGATGAATTTTGAAGGCAGATTTTTTTTTACTAAAAGTAATGTTGGCAGTGGGATGAGTATAATAGTGAATTTTGCCCCCACAAAATAAATTTAGCCTCTAGACCCACCAGCTCCTGCTGCTTCCAACACCCTTATGATTAAAAGCAAGGCATAATAAGAGCAAGAAAACTTTACCCTTTTAATTTTCATTTTTATGTTTGTTTTCCTTTTTATCTCCTATTGAATATATTAACTAAATTAATTCATACAATTCTTTTAAAATAAGATATTTAATATATTTAAAAATCAAATCTGCAATCAATTTTTTATATTTTTACAATGCAACTTTTAATAAAAAAAATTTATTGAAATGTTTACTTAACAATAAAGTAGTGTGACTATTTTAGTTAGAGTTGGAGCTGGTCTACTTGTTACATCCCTTTTATACAAAAATATCATGTGGTTACAGTTTAGAAGCAACATTGAAAGCAATGCCCAAGCCCCATGAACTTTTCAAGGGTTTTGGGTCAAGATTCAAGAGTCCCCTAGTTCCCCACCCAGAAAAAAAATATACATATATCAATGCCCTTAGAAATTGATTAGTTTGAACTATTCCTCCAGAAGTTAATTATAAGAGAAGTTGAAGCTTTGTCGAAATGGATTAAAGTAGTTTGAAGATATAACTAAAGAAAAGAACCCATGATTTGAGTGCTTTAAAAAGTTTAAATGAAAGAATGAAAAAAGAAGAGGAGAGACAAGATCTGTTAATTAGAACATGCATGTGGGTTTTATATTATCATTATGTTTTTAAACAAACATGTTTATTTTGATATAATGAGAGAAAGATTGAGTAAAGTTTTGAAAAGATAATGGATAGTGGGCATTTGGCAACTGGCATAAAAGCATCTGTCATGAAAATATAAAACAATTCAATGAGTATTTTTTTTTTGTTTAGAATTTTCGGTGTTCGATAGTAATTTTGGACATTGATTAATCTGAAATTGAACCGGATTTCATAAAAAAAATAAATTTTTTTAAATTTATTTTTTCAATTCACAAAATTCAAAATCGAGATCTTACTTAAAAGAATCGAACTCTTTGCTACTTAGATAAACAAACGTTGGTTAATTCAATGAGTATTATTGTTTCTTCTGATGATTTTTATTTAGATACAAAGTTTGAGAATTGAAGGGGCATGGCATACTTTTTGATTATGGACCCCAGGAGGGGACTAAACCTAGTGGACGACTCTCCATAGTCCGAAAATAAAAAATTAATTATAAATGATAAAATTTGAATTTTAAATTTATTAACTATCATCTTTTAAAAATAATTACATGAATTAAATTACTTAAATTTCGTATTTCATATTTTTCATTTAACCAAGTAAATGACTAACTCAATCTACATATGAATTGTAGGAAAAAATTATGGTAGGCTGAGTCCAATCAAAATAAGTAGGTTGAATTCTTGACAGCTTAATCTTTCCATTGAATTTGACTGTAAAAAAATACATTAAACTGAGTAAATATTTCTAAAAGTCGACATAAGACGACATTGCACTTTGTTTTTTTTTTTTGGCTAAAGCCAGATTATTTATTGATGATTAAGAGAGATTACATAGGATAAACTAGCATAAGATATTGTGTCATGGGTCGAGACTTAAGCTTCGAATCTGTGTGGTTTCGAGATTCGGGTATCCACTCATTTGGCTCTCAGATCAGCCTATCTACCACGATTCACCTCCTTGTAAGGTATTGTCGGCTCTGGTCCCTTGACTCACGATTTTGTCATACAAAATGTGTCTCACAAGAAAGAGATGGTGTAGACCCTTATATACCCCTTTTATATTCGATACAGTTTTGTCATACAAAAGGTGCCTCACAAGGAAGAGATGGTGTGAACCCTTATATACCCCCTTTTATATTCGATGTAAGATTCAAGACTCCTCTTTAGGTCTGTGACATTTTCTCTCACCCAACATCGTGACGCCATCGTCACGAAGCCTGACCATCCTGCTCCGCCATCCTGCTCTGGGATCTAGGCATCTACTCATTCGGCATCTCAGATCAATCTGATCGTCACGGTTCACATCCTTGTGAGGTATTATCCGTTCTAACCTCTTGATCTCACGGTTTTGTCTTACAAATGACATCTCACAAGAAAAAAATGGTATGAATCCTTATATATCTCAATGACTTTTTTTTTATATTCAATATGTGATTCAAGATTTTTTTTTAAGTCCGTAATAATTGGATTTAGTTAGGAGTTATACATTAGAGATAAATTCATAGAATATTAGGCATTGATCTATTTTTTTTAATAATACGATTAGAGATATTTGTCAAAATTTGTCTTTTGCTTGAAATTTTTATTATTCAACTAATCCTTTAATTCATATTATTGTTAATCTATCATCATTAACTAATAACGATCCGTGCATGGGCAGCTAATTAATTATCTTTTCAGTTTTTTTTAATCTTTTCAGTTTTTTTTAATCTTTTCAGTATTTAGATAGAGTTTGAACGCATAACTTTATTCTTCGTTTGGTTTCTAGGAAGATAGATTCCAAGCTTTTCTGTTTCTTTTTCATTTTTTTTTTTTTCATTAACATATACAGGAAATTAGGAATGGTTAAGTTAAAGCTGTAGCTTCATTTAAAAGGCAAAGCATTTGGTACCTAATTCACAAAGGAAACAACATGAGAGCAACAAAGCAAAAAGGGAAAATGGAATCCCAGGTAAAAAGGAAGTTCTTTCTCTTTTGGCCTTATATCATGCCAAGAAATTCTTACCAAACCTAAAACACCAGTGAAGCTTTCTTTAATTTATCTATTTAACAAATACCTTAAACTCGGCATTATTTTTTCTTATAAAAAAAAGTCAAAATTTAAAAATAAAAAAAATTGTAAATGTTAAATTTTAAAATTTAAATATATTAAATATTATTTTTTAAAAATAATTACATAAATCAATTAAATTAAATCTTGGATTCGACATTTTTTACAAAATGAAATCCGTGAATAAGTGAAAGTGGCACAAATGAGAATTAACGTTTCCAAATCGATTGTAAACATTTTTTGGTTTATTGATATTATCATCTTGGAGTAAAAAGAAATTGTTACTACATTTTCCCCTTCTTTTCCTAATGAATTTTTCCATAATCTTTTGTTTGAATATAAATAGATAAATCAAACTATTAGAAGTTAAATAAATACAATAATTAGAATAATTGATCTTCCAATTGAACATGAAACATGTTAAATCTTGTGTGGGTAGTGTGTTCTTGTTTTCTTTCTTGTAATTTTGTTGCGAGGTCGATGTTTGTTAAATGTTGACATTGTATTAATATGAAAGTTAGAAATTGTCAGAGCAAATGCCTATAGGGCTAGCTTTTAAATTTTACTATTTGACTTGTATGCATGGTTTGATTGCTTCTTAGAAAGCTAAAGAAAGAAATCTAAATATGATAATTTATATATTTGTATTATATAAAATAATAATAATTTATATATTCATGTTTTTTTTATATATAAAAATTATATATCATAATTCATATCGATACGAGAAATATAAAATATATTTTTTGTTTTATTAAATTTATATATAATTTTTTTAAATTTGAAATCATATTTTTTTTGTTTATTTTTCTTATATCATCTTTATATTGTATCATTGTTATATATCGTATTTTAAATTATAAAATCTAAAAAACTTAAAAAGAAATTACACACCACTTGGCTAAATGCCAGCTCATGGATTAATATATGAAAAAAATATTTTGAGAGAATGAATCTATAATTGTTTAAGATTGTGTCAGGAAATGCATGTTGCAACTTGCAGGCGAGGAAAAAATTGAAGACCCATTCCAGCCAGCAGTTTTCCTTCTAAAACAAATGGAAATTAACTGTAAAATTAATATATAATCAAAGAGAAACTAATTGGAAGAAAGAGACTTTTCAAGAACAGAAAACGAAAACGAAATGTTCCTTTCTTGTTCCTTTGTCAAATTCCTGATGATGTCATTGGATGTGGTCAGTTGGCATGGCTGCATATGTGAAATTAAAGAAATTTGGTAATTTGTCATTGAGAGATAGAGGGTGAGGTCATCTTCATCAATTATAAAATAGGTTTGGAACTGTTAAACTAATGGGTTTTTCAGTTGTAATGTATAGTTGTTAGGAATAAAAAAAAACAACTTTATAAGATTATTAAGGTGCTTAGACTTTGGTATATGATCTTTATGATCTAATAATAAAGTTTTTTATACAAAGGATATCGTAATTCGAAAATGAGGAAAGAAATTAAATTTGCTAAGACTTTGTTAATGTAATATCTTAATAATGATTGCATATTAAAAGAATATTGGATATGGTATAATATATATGTAAATATTTATATTTAAATTTATGAAATACTTTTTGTATGACAAAATCATAAGATATTCGAATCAAATAATGTATCGCAGAATGAGTACGAATTTTCACAAATGATATCCAAACTATCACCAATCGATAGGAATTAAATCCTACTTCATAGAACTCATTAAGTGCTATACAGTTAGAGGTCCTACATCGTATAACTCATTAACTGTTATACACTTAGGGTCGTAAGAGTCACTAAATACTATACGATAAAAAATCACCTCTAGAATTTGAATATTTGGTGTGATCTTAATCTTATAGTTAAACTCGATTTGACGAAGACGTCAAACTTGTCATTTATCTTATATTAAAAGAATATGTAAATATATATGATATATATATAAAAACTTAAATCCAAATCTGTGAGTTTTTATTTTAAATAAAATTGTAAAATTTTTGGATCAGAACCATTCTAACAATAGTTTCAATTGCAAAAAGAAAACAAATCTTGTGAATTATGAGCTAAACAATTTCTTAAGATCATGATCAAGAGAATTTATAAAAACAAACAATTGGAATTCATCGACATTTCTCTTATTTTGTAGGTCTTCTGACAGACTTAAAATCTTTGGGTAAGAATTCCAATATTCCATCATATGTAATAAATGTAAACAATTTTTTTTGAGATGTCCAAAGGGCAACATAGTTTTGGCAACATAGTTTTGGCAACAATTAGAGAGTTAAGAGTACGTCTAAACATGTTTCTAAGACCTAGGGCAAGACAGACAGAAAAAGAGAGAGATTGAGCATGAAATCAAAGCTGAACATGAGCAATAAAAGCAACTAATTAATAATTTCAACTTTCAAGTGCTTGACAGCTATCAATTCCAAACAATTCCCTGAAACAAAGGGATCATTGCTGCATTATAAAACAAGTTTTGGTCTGATTTGCACTTCATTTCGCTTGAATGATCATGAGAAGAAACCACCATTAATATTAAAAATTCTGGGTCAGCCACTGAAAGTCCTTCCATCAGCCACACCCGACAGGCCAACACATTTTTATAAAAAAAATAAATAAATAAATAAAGAATCAATTACCTCAGCAAATTCCATATCCTCCATTTTCAAACAAAAAAAAAAAAAGAATGAATCTAAGCTAATCTCATTTCAGAATGGCAATTATAATTATGGAGTTTCGACCCTAACAGGCCATTAAAAAATCAAGCTAGTCAAAGATAATATATAGAACAGTACTGCAGCTGAAGATGAATATGATATAGTCTATAGTTTGGTAGCTTCTTGAAAATTGTTAACAGGAAAAGAAAAAAGATAACAACTTAATCAATTTGTGAAAGGAAAACACAGTAAGCCTCAGTTGTTGCGTTGAATTGCATTGCACCCGTGATTCTGCAGTGAAAAATGAAAGTACATCAAAACCATGTTGTCCACCAATAAAAAAGTAAAAAACGCAGACATCGATCTACTTCATATCTGTACCTGTCCTGACTTTGGTGGTGGGGGAAGAGTTCTCTAGGAAACTGTATTGGACATTTTCATTTGCTTTCTGAAGCCCACAAAATGTTGAATCAATCCGATTAAACCTCGAATTTTGTTATTATATTACTTGCTTGTCTTGTAGCCGAAGTATGACCAAGCTCAAACTTGCCCAACTCTACTTACTGTCATATCTCAATATGATAGTCATATTTATAGTTAAATATTACACTTGCTCGATTTTGACTTTTATTAGGTGAATCATCAGACAATCAAGAACCAAGTAAGATGAACTTTGCGAATGATGAAATTCTTCAGAGTCCAATCCTCATTTCAAAGAATGCATTTTGAGTGAGTTGTGTTAATTAAAGGGAGTGGGACTACAACAAATGAGACAATTTACATTGAAAGATCCTATAAACATAATCCCTTTTCGGTTCACTTTCAATCAATATCAATCATAAAGAGGCCCTGGATGGTACATGAGGCTGAAGAAACAAGTATGAGAAAAACAAGCTTTTCAATCGGTACCCTGAAAGTGAAAACTCAGGTGCATGGCTGTGCATCAAACAGATTCAAGGGATGAACTCTTTGGTTCTGATCACACGAAAAAAAGAAAGGAAACTGTTTTACTCCCAAGGTAATTTTGATTTGTAGTTTTCTTGTTCCCTTGTGGAGTCCTTCTTGTCGAAATATTGTGGCGTTTTGCAAAGGGGGCATTGATGCTGTTAGGTAGGACAAGTATAAATCAATAAGGCCATGGGGTTGAAGTCCTTACTTTTGCAACCATCTCTATTATGGATAACCCCTTTATATCTCTTTCATGGAGCCCCAAAGCTGTAACAGGTAAGTCTTCGCTGTTCGAAGCCTGTCAAGCGCTTAAGGTTAACCAGCAAGAAAGATAATCCCAACCAGCTTCCATTCTCCTATTCATGTTTGGTTTGAACATCTATAATCATGTATATTTCCCTAAACACAGCCTCACAAGACCAGCCTAGTGACCCTTGGAGGCTGCGAAACCTTAAAAGGTTATCGCGCCACCATACTCTCACCTCAAAAACCACCCAAAATTAAGGTTCCTTTTAGTCTCAATTCTATCACAATTTCCTTGATTCTCAAATTCAACCACCTTGATTAACATAAAATGACATAAGAACAGCCATGCCAAGTAAAAACATACGGTTATCCTAACAGGCAGATTCCAAGATCACAATCTTCATACTTTCAGTGTTATTCATATCACAAAATAAGGATAAAACAATCAACAGTAAAGGACTTCGACTATGGTAATTTAAGCAGTAGCAACATCTCCCGAAGGGAACTATTACAATGAAAATAATAGTACCTTCCTCTATTTCTTTCACATGGTTGTACCTTGTCCAAGGATTCTACTCAAGTTTCATAAATCTCAAGCTCAATGCTACTTGTTGATTAAGCAAAAACTCAAAGAGAGAAATAACACAATCTGTAAGTCAATAATCATTTCTTAAAAGTCATAAAGTTATGAGGAAAATAGGCTTTGAACGTGTGGTGGCTTTTTCTTTGCTCCTTTCCCAAAGGAAAAGCAGCTCAATTGCATCTACCAATCCCCCCACAGTGTCACTGCAATCTCCAGAGAAGAAACTAGTGGTTAATCTAAGTGTAGGCACTTCATGCTTCAGCTGTATAACAGCTTCATGATCTATATTCTATCCTCTTATAATAATGCAATTCCATGCAATCTGCTATAATTAACACTAGAAGCAAACAAATCAAGCATAGCTAACAAAACTTGCCGAAAAGCACCAATATGTGCGGTGGTAGCAACTTCATCAACAGCATTCTTAGCCACATCACATTTTCCTCCAACCTTGCTCAATAAAAATTCAATACCCAGAAAAAATTTACAAGGAAACCCTCTTTCACAATAAATTTTAGAAACTCAAGTTAACAAACCATCATCCCAAGAATCTTGTGATAAGGTACCAAGCATTTATGTATAATATGAGTAACAAAATGATAAATAAATCAAAGTTATTGGGTTGAAGAGAAGAATTCATATGTCATTTGGATTCGAAAATGGAATCATTTATTACTACCCAGAAGGTATATTTACTATCAGGTTTTGAAATATCTACCAGATAAAAAGATCATTCTTAGAAACAATGTCTATTTAGGTCAAGCAACTACAAGAGAACTTGGTAATTAGCCAATTAGAATGTTCTAGTGCTGCCATGATTTATATATAACCAAGGAGAATTCTTTTTAGGTCCAAGCTTGAGCCACTCACAAATCAAAAAGACTAAATATAGCAATATCTATCAGAATTCTTTAAAACTCCTTACATAGGGTTACATTTGCCATGATGCTAAATAAATGAAAAATACAACAGTCAACCAATAAGTTTTCTATTTGCCAAAAAAAAAAAAAGAAATAAGTTTTTAGTGGCTCATGATCTTTTATGGCACCACAGTCCGCACAAACTTCCAAAGTAATGAGCAAGCTTTAAAATCAAGTACACCATCCTCGTTTCAGGGAGATAAACATTTAGAACACAGCATTAGCCAACTTTAAGCCAATCAAAATCAAAATTCTTAAATGATGGGTGCAACAATAGCCGCTGCTTTCTAGAACAATTCTCATAACTAGTTTCCACAACATGAAAGGAAGCAAAATAAACATCTTACTGCAGAATTAACAAGGCAACAGAGACATATTTATCTCATTTTTATGCACCAATTTGAAGCATTCATCACAATTCACCAACATAACCATAACCCAGCAGGTCAAACCTGGATACCATTATGGATTTATTTCAACTATTCAGATGATATTAATAGAGACTTTTAGCAAAAGAACCATCCATCATATGTAAATTAAAATCATCACAAAGTAGACAGGAGAATTTCAAGTGTGACTTAAAACCACCCACTCATTAAAGATGGGAAAATAAACACATATAGCCAATTGATCCCTGAAAAGCTGAATTCTGACTTAGGAATGAAGAAAGCAGCAATACTAGATTGAAAGAAGAAAGCTTCAACCTCCACAAGCGAGAGCTACTAGATAGGACTGAGATAATTAGCAAATCTACCTGTCATCCGCCAAAAAAAAAAAATCATAGATAAAGTCAAACACATATTTATTCACATAACAAACAATGAATTATTATCTGCCAAATGATTTGAAAAACAAAGGCAATATCTAGACAGTACAAGAAAATATTATCCCAGCTTTTACCTTTTTTCTTCTAAAAAGTGCTAGTTGTCTATCTATGTCATAAGTTTCCTTACTAGAAAGCAAACTTTCGTTTCGCTCACCGGATTAGCAACATGAAGAGATGAAATGCCTCCCAATTACACTAAAAGGTACTGAATAAACCAATTTGGTATCTTCTACTTAAACAATAGATTATACACAGAGCTTAATCCAAAGAATGCAATGCTTGAATGCGCTGCCCCTATCATTGCTGAATTGATATTAGGATGAGCTTTGGAATATATATGACAACTAGCTAAAACTTAATCATAGGGTTTCCATCGATGATAACTCGCATGCTATTGCTAAGTGACAAGTACAACAGCATGTAAGCAAACCTCCCCACCCGCCCATACACCCTACAGGCACTGGCAAAAAAACAAAAACTGCTAACGAAAGCTAACTCTAGTTCAAGTCGTATAAATTTTCAGCAAAGAATTAGTTCCAGTAAAATGAGGATTGAGAAGCAGTTCAACCAGATATCAAAACAATTCAGTTCGGAGTTTGAGAAACTACCGAATCAAGTCATGTTCTCTAACCAACCAAGATGTATAAAACAGAGTACCTAAACAGAAGAATGTTAGAAAAGCAAAACCAGAGATACCTTCAGCACAACTGTTGGTATCACGGGGAAGCGTGGAAACAAGGCAAGCCGATGCAACCGCACTGTGAACCGGTTGAAGAGTGCTCAGTTCTCGTCGAACCAACCTTCAACACATTACCCAAAGAAACCAAATCTTTAAAAAATGAGATCATAGCCAAAAAAAAACCCATTTATTCTATTCACAATGAAACATAATAACAATGAATAGAACAAAAAAAGGTACCGAGATAAAGAAGGAGGAGAAATCCGGGTTTGGCGAAAAGTAAAACTGGAACGAAGTGAAGGATTAGGAACTGAAAATGGGGTTCTTGTTCTTGCTGTTGTCGTTGTTGTCGTTGTTGTTGCTGTTCTGAAGATTGGACGAAGAAAAGAAGATCTCGCCGCAATTGCAGCTGCCATTTCTTGGTTGTCTCAATTGGAACAATGAAAAATGAAAACCTCCGCAAAACCCTGGTTTCTCAACCAGTAAACCTGCGAATTTGCTTGCTGCTTTGCCTGGTTCGTGGGGCTTGGCTTACGGACTTGACCTAAGAGCTTAGAGTCCACCAAAGGAAGCCCATCTGCTTCTAATGGATTACACAATTCTCTATTTACCAAATATTTTTAGTAATAAAATTATTATTTTATAAATTGACGATGAAAACTTTAACTTTTGTATACGAAATTATTTACTTAGAAAATTATGTTAGTTATGTCTTGAAGATCCAATGTTTGATTAGGCAAATATTAAAGATCAGATTTCAAATGTCCCAAATTACTAATAAACCAAAAGTAATGTGGGTGAAATATTTGATCGCAACATAGAATTAAAATATTATGGTATGGCTCATTATTTATTATATTTTTTTAATACATTTTGACGAATAAAATTGTCTATGAATCAGTGACTTGCTTAGTTTGCGAGTTAGTTCAATTCAAGTCGGATTCTGAACATAAATTATAGAATTTGAACTCGAATTGTTCTGATCTAAAATTTATTTTTATTTAATTTAAATTTCAAAATGTGTATCTAATTTATAATAGTTCATATATTTTTAATATTTTAATAAATATTTTTTAAATTTAATTAATTAAATTGAATCTTAAAATGACAAATCGAATCAGATTCAACCCGAAAAAGTTTAGTGATGAATAAATGATAATCTTCTAACTTAATAATGGAGTGCAAAAACTTCACCTGCCATGGGATGGATAATTTTCCATTGATTTCATTCTCCTTACCGCCAATTTACCAAAGGATCTCTTTTATTCGTTGTTGGCAGGTAATTCAAGCAGCCCTGCTAGTCTAGCTAGCTAATCCAACTTCTGCAGTAGATGCAATCTTCATTTCATGTCTCACATGGTGCACAATTTACAGTCAAGTGCAGTAAAAAATTTCCTCTCTTATTGAGCATTTCAGCATGTATCATCAGTCTTTCAATTATCTTAAAACAGATATGTGGGATCCATGCAAATTCACAATATGAAAATTGACACCTAATTTAATTCAAAAATTTTATAATTTTATCTTACAAAAATCATCATAAAAATATAAAATTGACTATCACACAAAATTCATCATCTACTGTTGATCTTGTAATTGGGATTGGGCACGTAGTTTATGCATGGGATCTACCAGTAGGTTCGTCTGGAAATCTACGACACTGATGCTTCCTGTATCAAGCTGGAATGATCCCAGCCATCTTATTTTCAGATTTAGGCAGTGTCCCGTCAATGATCAACAGCTACAGGATGAACAATGATCTTTTCTCCTCGGATTCGTCGTACGGTTCATTCAGCTGGGAACGCCAGGCCCCGCCCAGATTCCTCCCATGCTGTTGACATGACTCCATCGTCTAATCCCATTTAACCAACCAGGGTATGGTACAGAAGCGAGACATCAATTTGTGTCCGGCAGAAATAGACAAATTGGATGATTTGATTATATAAAATTTCATTACGACATTAAAAATAAACCTCCTTATCACACTTTTAATGGGTGAATTCCACCAACCAACTTCTCTAATCACCTAAAAACACAGACTCTTTCTTGTTTCACAACTTTCACTTGTGTCTCTTGACTGTTAAGTGTGTCAATCAGACCGTTAGAAAAGGCATTAACCATTGGCTAGAAGGACACATCAAATTCCAATAAGCAACGAATATTATGAGCCTTCTTTCCTCGTTAGATATGGTAGGGTCACTTTAGACCAAATCACCGCACAAGGATGTACATGCATCTATATATACATTTAAATATGATAATTTAAAACATGATATATGATATGATATAAAAATAATATAATTTAAAATTTTTAAATAAATTTAGTAAAATTTAAAAATATATTTTATATTTTAATATCGATATAAATTATAAAATATAATTTTTATTTAAAATATGATATAAATGTATACATTTTTTATATTTTATATTACATAAATATATGAATTATTATGTTAATATATAAGTACTTAAAGTATGATATCTTAGATACCCTCGAAAATAAAAATTTTTTTTAATGCTTTCAAAATTTTTTAAAATTTTTTTATTGATAAAATTTAAAAAGTTATAATAGTTTTCATATATTATAAATAAATAGCTTCAAAAATATTCTAAAATCAACAACTAGCCGTTGCTTTCCCAACTTGGGAGGTTTCTAAGCAGGGGCAGTTCCCACCACAAAAAGATCCAGCTAGCAATTCTTTTGCTTTTATTGTTGTTTTAATCAATTTGCCTTGTGGGCTGACCCCATCATCATATTTGTCTATTGTCCACGTTGGCACTTTCACTGGGGACCCTATTTCTTAGCCATCAAACAGTCAACTTGGAGATATTCATCCTTATCAATTTCTTTGCAAAATTTTGCCATTGCTTGGCTGGCAATTTCATCCTAGTGTGGTGACAAATATGGGCATCATGGTCAAGGCCTAGGGCACTCAAAAGCCCTAAAACAAGTTATATGTAGTCAAGTACATCCAAAGCTAGCTAGGATTAAGGGTCTAAATTTCAAACATAGTATAATAATATGATATAAATCTAAGACAAACTTATTGTTCAAGCTCAAATTAATCATTACATGAGTTGGTTTAAAATATCAATATTTTTAATTGAGTATTTGATTAATTAATTGATACATGTATATTTTATTTAAAAAGTTTATTTAAAATTTTTAATTTTTTTCGTTTTAAAATATTCGTCATGTATTAATTTCTATGAAATTTTTAAAAAAATTAATTTTAATGTATTCAATGTTAAATTGTAATTTTTTATAAAAGTAAATTTTCATAATTTTTAATGTTAAAAAATAAAAAATAATTTAAAAATATAAAAAATGATTTTTAGATATTTAAAAAAGAAAATAAGACATAATTTTAGAATATCTAAAAAAAAAAAGATAAAGAAAATGGGATAGATGAAGTGAAGAAATAAATATATCTTAATATAAAATGTAAATTAATCACTTCAATCATCTTATGTTTAATGAAAAAAAATAAACATAAATCTGTTAATGAACAAAAATATCTATAATATTTTAAATAGTGGTCTCAATTTCATTACACTTATGAAAAGCTTCACTCAAACAATTTTGTTTAGTGCAACTCTAACAAGCTCTATAGAAGATGATAATGATTTTATACGGATAGGTTCATCAATTAAGGGCGAAAAATATTTCACAGCAATATTGATAATTTAAAATATAATATAATAATATAATATAAAATAATACGAATAAAAAATATAAATATAATATAATTTAAAATTTTAATAAAATTTATAAATAAATTTAATAAAATAAAAAATATATTTTATATTTTTATATTGATAAAAATTATAATTTATAATTATTTTATAAAATATGATATGAATAAACGAATTATGATATTTTATAAAACATAAATATATGAATTATTAAATTTACATAAATACATAAATTTGACATGCGAAATTCACGTGATTTGGCACCACACACCTACTGTAGTTTGGACAATGATGGCCTTCGTGTCCTCCTCTTTTAATGACATGAGCAGATCAACAACAAGGCATTTCCTCTAACATGGAAGAAAAAGGGTATGACAAAAAGATTTAGCAGGAAATTTGAATGGATGCATCTGGTGAAGAAGACAATATACATGTGTATTCTGATGAAAGGTTTCTATCATTCTAAAATTCACGTTAAAAAAAAAAAGAAATTTGTTTTGCCTCAGCTGAAATATTTTTTAACTTAACGATTGAGATTCAAAAATACATTAAAATATTTTCTTCATTTTTTTTTCTTTTCTACCAAACAGAGTTAGGGTTTTACTCTTAAATCAGGTAAGGAAAACAGGGTATGTTTTTTTTTTTTTTTTAAATAACTTTGTCTACTTAAAGGATTGCAACTGCTTTGATCTGGTGTCATTAGTGCCTTTTATGAGACACCATGAATGATTATATCCAACTTTCCCTCATTCACTTCACATTTTTAATTATCCTCCAAATTCCCAGACATGAGATCTGCAGAAATTAGCTCTTTTTTTCCCTGCTGTTGATCATTGTTGTGATGAAATACTAATGAATTATCCGTTGCAACTTCCTCATTGAATATGAACTCCATCTCTTTTAACCAAATCTAATAACTGGTTGATTCATTCTTTTCACATCCAACTACAATTTACAACCCCATTTGATTCCTTGAAAACAGATCTATGTGAAGAAGTGTGAAAAAAATATAATAACTAAAAAATATTTAAAATAAAATTTCGAATACATTAGACCGAAACTGAAAAACATATTTAAAAAAAATGAAGTTGATGAAATCTTCATCGATAATATTTTATTTTATTAATTTTTTTATTATATTAAGAGGATAAAATTTTAATATAAATAAAAAAAATTTATTGAAAATCAAACTTTTAATATTTTTTTAACGTCTTTAATTAGATTGGATATTTTGTCATTTTGAAAGATATCTAAAGTCACTCTTCCACATTTAATTGTTTACTAACCAAATCAAACTTTTCCGTGATCATTGGGCTCAATGGTTTAATCCTATTGGCCTGAACTTCGAATCCTCCCATTCCATGCCACTGTCAATTTCTTTCATAGTCGTTTGGACCTTTTTTTTCAACACAAACATAGGTAAGACTTTCACCAAATGATGCCTTTATCAATTTAATAGCAATAGCAAACTTTTAGGTTTGAAGAAACTTATTTTTGTTAATGTTTTTACACAATAATCATCTTTAATTTAATTAATCAAATTTTTGTATCAAAATATTTGGTTTAGTGATGGTTGGCACTTTTGATTTTTCAACAAAATTCAACTATTTTTTAAATAAAAAAGTAGTAATTAAGTTTTTTCAATAAAAATTAACTAATTAACTTACAATCATGTTTAAAATAATTAATGTAAAAATAAAGTCTTTAAAAATATGTATTTAAAAATTCATTCAATTTTGTTATAGAAATTAATTAAATCGATAAAAATAGAATGTTTTAATTATAAAATTTAAAATCAATTTTCATTATCAATAATATTTTTTAGAAGAGATATGTAAATTTTATAAAAATTTTTCATAAAAAAATTTTGGGATAAATAAGTTATTTAGTTATTTAAATTAAGGTAAATTGTG